AGTATAAAACAAAGTCGCTTTCGCTGTATGTCCGTATGTATGCTTAGATCTTTAAAACTACGCAACGGATTTTGATGCGGTTTTTTTTAATAGATAGAGTGATTCTTAAGGAAGGTTTATATGTATAATCCATGCATATTGCACCCGTGCGAAGCCGGGGCGTGTCGCTAGTTTTAAATAAAGTCAAATAAAGTATTACACTTATTTTGAAAGTTCATAAATAGAATAGCCCGGTTAGTTAGTTGGCTAGTAAGTCCGTCCGTGAAGGTAGGCGCTTATTCCAAAACCAAAATGTTAATTCGTATGGAGAGGAACAGAGCAGGCAGAACACTTAGCTTTAGGCGACATTCTTATAACACGCAGACTTTGTATCCCTACCGTATTGGTTTATACTTTGGCAATGATTCTTTTATTATTTCCTGTACAAGTACTACTTATCAGTACCAGTGCGACCAATTCACAAGTCTGATATGTATATCACAGAATCAGAATCACCACTAATATTTAAACAATTCAAATAACTCCCTTCAGATTTATTTATATAGGTACACAAAAACAGCAAATTATAATTATTACGTTGTTAAAATTTATCTAAATACATAACACGGGACGTCTGATAACGAGTGTATTGTATATTATTATCTTTGTAAATTGATAATACCTCTATTTACAATCTATCGTCGGCTGAGAATTGACAGTTTGGAGTTTAAGGTTTTTTTTTTCTAGATACGAAAGGAACAATAGGCTATTGAGTATGTAGAACTGACTAATTACTTTTGTAATGACTAATTACTAAAAACTAAAATATTTACAAATTCAAATCTTCTTCGTCTTCATTACGGTCGTGAGGTACGGCGGCGGCGCCCACAAGACCATGAGTCTGCGGATGGCGTGTAAGGGGAGCTACGCTTCCACGCCGCCCAACCAGACCCAGACCGACCGACACGTCACGATCCGCACGCCCCTCAAAGAGCCACCGGAGAGACGTGATGCACAAACTTGTTCCTTTAGTGACAATATCGCTAACAAATAGTGCGAACCAACTCATGAGTGCACTGATGATGTGGTTTCATAAGAGATCCTCAATGATTTCCAACATTTTTGGCAACGCAATGATAATGTTGTCTGCAAAGTGTTACCTAGTGATTACGAGGTTTTTAAATGCACTTTGGGCACACTACATTAAATTGTAGTGAATCCTAATTAATTGTTCGAAACGGAGTTTCGTTCAAAAATATATTTCGTGTCGAATTTAAGAAATAATGTAGGGAGTGATACACCATTTCAGAATCCTCATTAAATGCGCCAACTTTGGTGAAATTTGCCACTAATACCGCCGTACAATTTTTTTCAGTAAAGTCACTTAAAGTAAGTTGTATAATTTATTAAGAGCACTTGGTTCATCAAAAAATGTCATTCTTTTCCGAACTAAAGCAGTTGGAGCAGAATTTAAGATTCAATAATACTGAAGCACTATTCAGGATAACGTATTAAAAAATACAGACGAAAAAATATATAATTGTAGCAACAAGAGTCAAAAGACACAGGATGTACTTTTTCATAGATAACACATAAGTTACTGTACTTTAAAAACTATCTAAATAGGTTTCTTTTTATATTTTTCTGATAACTGTAGGAATCTAAACGATCAACTGGTGCCATTTGCTCGTCGACTTCAAGGACACCCTATATATAACCCTGTATTGATATAGTATTTTATATGTGAGAACTTAACGGGTTACCGAGGCTCCGGCTCGAAGTGCAGGACAAGGAACAGGGTGGTTTTTAGTCCGTAAGAGTCTGACACTCCCTCTCGCCTCACCTAGGCGGGAGAAGTCAGTCGTTGATTTTCCCCCCTTAAAAAATGTAACTATGTAATATACATACATGTGCTGCCAATGCTAGCCAAAATATTTAGGAGCGCCTCAATTACTTCAACATCTGTAAACATATCACGTTCAGACTAACAACCAACTACAGTCTGACGAACTTTAAACATTCTCGTCTTTATTACAAGCAGTTAAAGTTAAAAATATTATAAAGAACAATGTCAAATTCCTTTATCAGACATTCGACTTTGTTATCTTTATGCACAGTCGAAAATCCAATGAAAAAACTGGACAGACCGGAGTTGGAGTAGGTCGACTAACTTGTTGATATAAAGTTATTTAGTAATGATGTGATCAGTGTTGCTATATTACGTAGGCAGACAAATAATTCTTTATTGTAAAGTACACCATTTTTTAATAATTTATAGTTAAATAAAATAAGGCGTAATATTGTAAAATGTTCGCCAGCTAGTGTTTCATATTATAGCGCTAGCTTATATTATAGCGTATTTAGAAGTTACATCGAAGCGAGAGAGAGCCACTAAGTTCTCGCTACTCGACTAATATTGTTTGTGTTTGATAGTCATTTATCGAGGAAGACTGTATGATATAAAACACCAAGATACGATCACTAGGAGTCGAGCAGCGAGTGAAACTGAAATACCCCCAGCTAGTTTTAATATATAAGTATTTCACAAAACGCTCAAGTAACCAATTCCTGATTGTTATTTACTCCCGGGATCAAGCCGTTGAATACAATATTTAATTTACAATTGACGCGTAACAAAATATTTACAATTACAGATATTATAAACTCTGTCTTACTCAATTAATTGTAAAGTTGACAATCTATTGGAGGAAAACGGACTATTGTAGTTTGGTCTACGTTTCAACTTTTTTATTTGAAACGTAAAGTCGATAATTTATTGCAGTGGATTGATGTTTATTATTATATAACCTGCCTATCTATGTGTGTCCGAATATTTAATATGTTGCCGAGTATATTAAAAATACTCAAATTCAGAATTTTTAATATTAAATTATATGTATGGTTGAATTAAAATAACTTTTATAGCAGTAAGAAATTTTTTGAACATAATTCATATTATAATACATAACTACGAGTATAAGTAAAATAAAATAAGTGCATGCTTTAGTTATTTAAACAAAACATGATGATCGATTGAATTGTAACTATAACATCTTTGTATTCCATGTTTTACGTAAATAAATGTCTTTATCTTTAAATTTTTAAACCATTCGAGTTGATTTTTATAAAATTCAATTTCTTTTAGTAACTACGTTGCACACAAAAATGTATTTATTATTTATTTCATATCTGGAATTTAAACTGGCGATATGGCTACACCATGCCACAGATTCTACCACGAATATTAAAATTAGTATAATCTATGGATTGCGCTATCTGCCGCCTTCGCCGCCTCGATGACGCATTAATAATACAAATAAAATTGGCGACCGAACTTATCGCGCGCCCGCCGTCCTAAAACCTAAACATTATTAATATCGAATGTTTTAACTGTGCAACAATAATAATCAAATATACTATATAACTGTCGCAATCGAATGTGAATTCTGAAGAAGTAATTGCACATGAGACCTAGGATATATTAACAAAATAATACGAAGCCGGCAACTCGTAAGTAGCTCTACAGTTTCTCTTATAAACCAAGCTTTACTTATAAAGCATTGAAAATATGATCAGTTGCATCATGGTCACAATGGTGTGTTAACACAACTGTACCATGGATATAGGCATGTGATGTATAATGTGTAGCACCCTGTTGTTATACAAAACTCTATAAACACACAACTGTAGAGAGCCCTGAAACATGCACAAACATGTCTTTGTCGTAACATATTACTTTCATTACAGTTGTTTTGTTAGACATAATAATCTATGTACCTCTATATCGGTTCTAAAAATGATTATCGACCGCTTACAAAAATATCGACTGCACAAGACGTGCTTGTAATGTTTCAGTTACGATTTGCTGCGTGACCTTCAGGCTCATTTAAGGTATATTATTCAGGTATTATTGCACTGCTACACTAATCGCTGGGAGTGCTAAATTGTTCGATATCGATTTTAATTTTTTATTACACATCCTTAGAGTATTTAACCAACTAGAGATGTTACGAGTACTTAATATCTATGTATAAATCTGTATGTGGATACACTAAATAGAAATAAAGAGGATTATCACAATTATGGCTTACTGTTTTTATATTTATAAATAGTTCAAGAGTGAATTCAAAACTTAAACTATAAAGTTACCTTATGTACATACGTTGACCAGGAAAAAATTCCTAATGATATGTCAACGATGCATTTATTCTATATGATTTCATTTACAGAAACATTCCGAATGGATCCAGCAGAAACACTAGTGACGAAACTAAATGAACTGCTAGATGCTGTACAGAAAGGAGAGATAGACGATGTCAAGACCATAGTTGACTGGTTCGAACAAGACGTGGATCGCAACAGAACGCTATTACCTGCCGTGTACGCCGGAGCCAGGCCATGTCCTACACAGGACGACCTTGTCATTGCCGCGTGTTCCCATAACCAGAAGTGTGTCCTCGACTACTTGCTGATTGAAACTGATATTTTGGAGTATCTCACTGATAGTACACAACATATCACACAAGTGACTGAGAAGAGAACCGAAGCGGTCAGACATGCGCTGCGGCTGGAAGATTTTGAAATGGTGGAGAAGTTGTACAACTACTGGAGCGGCGACTTGTATTGGAACGGATACGAAAAAAATAAGTTTGAGGATCTTGGGAAAATATTAAAAGACGCTGAGTCTCCTAAAAATTTTTTTAGCTGGGTTTGCAACATTTTTAAGAAAATATTAATTCTTTGTCGATTCAAGGACATTAACCAACAGCTACTTATTAATTTCAAATGTCTCGTCACACTGAATGACTTTCAACAAGAGCTGTATAGCAAACTGCCAGAGCCACTGTCACATGACGCCCCCGCAGAAGATACTGCTAGAGTGCTACTGACTGTGTTGAGTATATATGACGAGTATTCAAATATTGAGAAGGTAAGAATACCAAATGTTGACCACCAACTTGAATTTCAACTCAAATCCTACTTTGAAGATAATAACAGTACATACTTTAAAGCACTCGCGTATATTAAGTACGAAGTCTATTTTCGGAAATTGGATTTTAATATAGCGTTACTTTTGTTGGAAAAGCTGCACATTATAAGAAATCATTTAGAAGCACGTTTCAATAAATCCAACGCATTTTTAAATGATAATACGATACTACAAAAAGATTACAAAACCAAATCGTCCTCGTACAATGACATAGAATGTGCTATCTACCATCTAATCTACCGGACAAGTGAAGACTGGAGACTGTACCTACCTGCGGATAGACAGTTAACAGTAGAAACTCATCACCTAGGTATTCATAATGGGATTATAGGAAAGCTTAAAACAACATATGATCTACATAAGTTATATAACGGGCCTGTGCTATATTTCGAACGAGAGCACTTCAAAACGTGTCTTGGAAATTTAAGAGAAATACTGAACGACTATTTTATCCAACCAGATCCATATCATGGCGAAGGTAAACCGAACAATAAAGACGAAAAAATTTTAGACAAGAATTATCTGAAACCAATGATGTACGTGAGTGATCATTACTCATTAAATAAAATTGTTACATACATCGAAGCTCTCGAACAGACTGCTAAGGCAGATGTCATTATGATTGAAAGAGTTCTACAAGTTACCGGAGAAATGGTAAAGGCCACTGAAAAGACATCACATTTATCTGAAATGACAAAAACCTTCCTACCGATAGCCGTACCCAAAGACACCATCAAGCATCTAGAAGGCATTAGAACCTTCTTGTCACATACTGACAAAGAACGACTGAGCATCAGGATTGATATCGAGAACAAACAAGCTGATATGTTATTAAATGTTAAAGATGAATTAGTGAAGATCAAAGAACGAATTGTTCTTATTTTTGATTTATGTAAATCTATTCTTGATAAGTCGTTACTACAAAAAGGTTTAAAACTACTAGAAAAAAGAATCGAGAAATTGCCAGGCGGTGCTAGACAACGCCGTCATGAAATATGTCGCCTTTATAAAGAACGTGGAAATGACTTAGTTTCGGAGGATGGTGAATATTATAGAAACATTTGGGAACCAGCCGACTTGTCATATCAATTGCTTAAGGAAATTACACATCTATTACAAAACCTAGATGAAATTTCATCGAAAAAGAAAAGAATAGATAATGAAATTAATAAGAAATTCACGAAAATGTTATCTACGTATATTCAGGATGCAAAACAAACACTAGAACTTATGAGAAGAAATAATCGTTGTGTGGAATCTGTCAATAAAACATTAAACATTCATAATATTCCAAACTTGAAATACTCCCCGACATCGCAAGACATAAATGAAGCAAGGGATAAATTAAAAAGAAAAATTAACGATATTGACAGTATTGAATTTCCAACAGATTTTTCACGACATTGGAAATCAAAAGAAAGAATGGTAAACCTCCTTCTAAATGGTGATATACCTGGCGACATCAGCTTTGACATGTTTGCTTCAATCGGTAAATTTGGAACAAACAATACTCCGGATCCGTCAAATATAGATAAACTATATTCCATATTAGAGAAGATGGAACTTGTGTATCTAATGAGCAATCAATCAACAAATAATACCAACGCGTGTCAGAAAACAAACGTGCTATTTACAGAAATAAAAAATCTATATGAAAATACTGTTACAAAAACAGAAAAATTAAAAAAGTTTACAAAGAAACATCCTACGAATGGTCAAGAAGAATTAATAATGTGTTTTGTCAATCGCATCTATCTACTGAGAAACACTCTCTGTTATCCACAACAAATACCTTTGAGTAAACTTGTTCAACGATACAAGTCGGATCCAGAATTTCGTTTTACGTTAGAAACGTTACTGGCTGACATAGAGAACATTATAAAATTAAAAAAAGGGGAGGAGACCTCGAAGAAAAGTGATAAGATGCTGGAAGGTATTGTCCTGCGTCACGTGCTGTGTCACGGTAATCCATTCTTAGAAGTGATCGGGGACTTAATCAACTGTCACGAGCTGCCACGGGAACTCTTGTTAAAAGCGAAGACGTTTGCTGAAGATCAGGAAAAACTCGGAGCTCTCTACGATCTGTTCTAACATAACACTATAATATTGGTAAACTTTGATACTATCAACAATGGTACTGTTATAAGTTATTATAGCCCCGACATTTAAAATAAAATCGCTGACACCGCATCCCCGTTGCTCCCGATGATGCGTCACGTTTACCTAACATTACGCGTTTTATTTCATTTATTAGAATGACACACTTACTTTGGACCTCGTGGCGGACACGCTAAGGGTTTTGTAATTTTACTATTTTCTTATTATATTTCTGGACATTCTAAAAAGCGTTTTTTTTTTAAGTGAGTAAGACTTTACCCTATAACAGTACGCTACCTAATATGAACGATGCACAGAAAGACCTTCACTCGAATCCATAAGAGGTTCCCATGCAGCGGTGGTCCCAATGCAAGATTGCCTAACTATTGTTGAGGGCGGGGATTGAGACATTTATATTTTTAGGCTTGGATTAAGTATTTTTTTTTTATTTTAAATACCTCTAATTTTAATAAATGCGAATAATTTTTCAAATGTTTTTAAAATTAGAACGACCAGTTATGACCGTTATGTAAAATTATTGATGTGTAGTTTATCTTTTTGTATATTTTACTAGGTTCTGCCCGCGACTTCGTACGCGGATTCCCGGTTTCTCTCGTTCCCGAAGAATTTTCATGACTTTAAATTAAACCTAAATTTAGTGAAGGCACTAAGTTTATATTAATTTAAGTGTAAATAATTTATGGTAGTGATTCCTAGATCACAAGGAAACTCGACCTCAACTGTAAAATCAGTCAAATTAAAGTTCATACAAATTACGTTCTTAAGTGTACCTAACTATGCCATAACAATACATAATTATGTTCGCCATATAACCCACGTGGAGGGAAAGTATGTACCTTAAAAACTAAAGATTAGAAGAAATTTCATGGTGTTCCTTATGTTTTGACGATTTATTCCATTCTAATACTAAAAACTAATACCACTGGTATTTGATTCAACTCTTATTTTTTTTCTATTCCGAACGGATACTACTTTTTAAATAATTTAATTTAATGTAGGAACGAATACCAACAACTTGAATTTGGTACAGTCAGCGCAGTCAAACCTAATCAAAGTAAATTTGTTTTTCAATATTTTTATGTAATCGTAATATAAAGCGACGGAACATTCGATTGCACCCCTGAGCCTTTTGTGCAGTTATATACTATCCACGGAGATCTGGGAAGTGACGAAGATCACATTCGTATAGTTCCTCTTATTTATGTTTTACTTAACAAAAAAACAGAAGAAACATTCAAAAAATTATTTGAAATTTTGAAACAAAATATTCCTGGCGGGAACTCGTAAAATTTTAACAGATTTTGAACTAGCCGCAATGAACGCCATTACAATTGTTTTTCCGTCAGATGTGATTAAAGGATGCTACTTTCATTCGTAATTCCAAAAATGTATGGAAAAAAGCAAAACAGTTGGATCTGACAAAAGATGCTATCACCCAAAGACACGTAAGACTTTCAGCTTTACTGCCTTTACTTCCTCGGAAATTCATATCAGAAGGATGGTGCTACATAATGGAAGACTGTCCTGATACTGACGCCATTGAAACATTTAATGACTACATGGTGTCACAATGGCTAGAGAACGAGAGTTTTGTAGACATTTGGTGCGTTCATGGTGAACGCCATCGAACCACAAATGCCGTAGAATCTTGGCATAAGAAATTAAACTCGGCTTTGCCAAAGAATGCTAATTTACATCAGCTTCTGAACGTGCTGAAAGAGGACGCAGATTTACAAACAGTGGTTGTTACTCAATATAAATCAAACGCACCCCCCGCAAAACGATGTCCACAGACAACTATTATGAAAAATTCGTGGATCACATACGTAACTGACCAACTCCTTAAAAACAAAATCTCCGTAGGTCACTGCTTAGAAAAATTAAGGGTTTAGCTACTAATTGTTGAAATATAAGAAATTATTTACACGTCATTTAGCTGATTATACTAATAGTGGATTTTCTGTGATATTTTATAATTCTCAGATTATAAGTGAATTATTCATATAAGACGTTTTTGCAAAAAAAAAACTGATTCATTGCTATGTAAGTGAGTGACTGATTTGATTATACAAAAAGTTGATTTTCTGTGATATTTTACAATTGTTAGATAAAAAGTGATTTATTTTTGTTAAAAATTTACCTGACATAGTTGTTATGAGATAGGTAGACGTGAATAATTACGTACCTATCTAATAATAACTATGTCAGATAAATTTCAATATAAATTAAGAGTTAATTTTTTGAGATATTTTGTAATTTTTAGATTGTAAGTAAATTCTTCCTGTTTGATGTTTTTGCAAAAAAAAATATTATACAGGTATAGAGAGGAACTAAAATTATATTAAAGTTGATTATTTAAGTGATATTTTATCATTGAACAAGACGTTTGCTAACAAAATTTGATTTTTTTGGAGTTATCTGTTTTTTTTTCAATGGGGTTGATGACAGGGTATGAAAATTAAAAATATAATTAGTCCGTAAGTTAGGTAATTAAAAAATATTAGACACGTATTTTTTTATTTTGTTGTATAATCGAACAATACTTAGATAAAACGAATCAAAGTTTAGGAGTGGGGGCTAAAACGTCATTTCTTAGTGTAAAATGTACTGAGAAGTGACGTCACGCGACATTTCAAATCAATATATCTTCGAAACTATTCGTTTCCGTAAGAAAATAAAAAATACGTGTCTAATGTTTTTAAATGTACTACCAGACGGACATTAAAATAAAAATTAGTCGTCTACCCTCATACAAAGCATTTTTACTGACTGTACCTTATATCTTTGAACTTGTTTTGGTATTAGTTTAAACAATGGTATCGGTTCGGAATAGAAAAAAAATATGAGTTGAAACAAATACCAGTGGTATTAGTTTTTGGTATTAGAATGGAATAAATCGTTTTGACGCTTCGTCATTTTGTAAAAATCGGAACGCCTTTATAAGTCAGTCTGTGGGCTAATCATACCCAAAAAGCAGACAGCGCACTGCGCATTCAATATAATAATGCCTTCAGGGCGCCGTTGAGGCTTCCACCTTACTGTAGTGCGTCTGGTATGTACGTGGATGCGATTTCGCGATCATGCGCAATGCATTGCGTAGACTGAGGCGATGCAGCAACAGCGTTCTGAAGGTGTTGGCAGAAACGCTAGAAAGGTCTATAATAGATAGATTTATCAAGCTGCATGTCAGACGTGGGGCTTGATAAAACTTGTAATAATTATTATCTGTGCTATATTTGTGTCTATTTTGTTTTATTTATTTTTGTACTCGTGTGTTACTAACATAGTTTTTTAACTTTGTACATCGTCAACTTTATGGGCCGCCGACGCCTGAAAATAAAAGATAATTTTTTTTATTATTTTTTAACTCCTTTTTTTGCTTATTAGAGCTTTTTGTTGAGGAGAAAAATCATCCAATAGCTTCTCCCACCTCGGGTGAGGCGGGAGGGAGTGTCAAACGCTTACTGACTTAAAACCACCACATTCCTATTTCAGCTCTTCGAGTCAAAGCCCGGTCACTCGTCCTCCATTCCTCCGCGGCTCCATTCCTCTAAGAGCCTACGACGAGTTTATTTTACGTTCAACGAGACCTCGTTCAGCGCTTTGATTGGGCGGCTGGAATGAACCAACCAATCACAGCGCAGAGCGTGGTCTCGTTTTGATCTCGTGAAATGTAAAACGAACTTGTACTAAGCACTCTGGTGTTGCCGATGTCCATAAGTGACGCCGATTGGTTCCCATCAGGTGATCCGTTTAGTTTTGGCCACCTTAAACCATAAATGTACCATGTTTACGAGGCAGTTGCCGAGTAGTTGCAAGTGCGACTGCCGAGCAAGGGGTCTCGGGTTCGATTCCCGGGTCGTGCAAAGTATTACTGAGTTGTCAAATTCCTTTTTGGCATAGTGCACCGTATAATTTAGAGGCGGACTTATAAATAAAACTCGTGTTATATTTAATGGCAAAACTTATAATCCACTTGTCCATCAAAAGTGTAACAGCTTAATGTTAATCATAATATATCCCATAGACGATCAATGGCGACCATAGACAATATTTACATGGTGAAATGCATTTCGAGACTTTTGCTTCAAAACCTTGCTGGTATCGAAAAGCAAGACTGAGAAAGAGAACGTGAACAACTGCGAGAACGGCTGAAAGAGCGTCTGTGGTCACTACTTGTGGTGAGAGAGGAAACCGCAAGTGTCAGGTTGGCCACTTGCTGTTGCAATGCCCGCAGCTGCTCTCCCATGCAGTCATTCGCTGGGCCGAACTTTTCTGCGCTATGGATGCTTGCAGGTTATGGGCCGCCACACCTTTATCAGACTTTCGACTTTGTTATACACAGTAGAAAATCCAATGAAAAATTGGACAGACCGAAGTTGGAGTAGGTCAACTAACTTGTTGATATAAAGTTATTTAGTGATGATGTGATCAGTGTTGCTATATTACGTAGGCAGACAAATAATTCTTTATTGTTAAAGTACACCAAATTTTAACAATTTATAGTAAAATAAAATAAAATATATAGGTGTAATATTGTAAAATATTCGCCAGCTAGTGTTTCATATTATAGCGCTAGCTTATATTATAGCGTATTTAGAAGTTACATCGAAGCGAGAGAGAGCCACTAAGTTCTCGCTACTCGACTAATATTGTTTGTGTTTGATAGTCATTTATCGAGGAAGACTGTATGATATAAAACACCAAGATACGATCACTAGGAGTCGAGCAGCGAGTGAAACTGAAATACCCCCAGCTAGTTTTAATATATAAGTATTTCACAAAACGCTCAAGTAACCAATTCCTGATTGTTATTTACTCCCGGGATCAAGCCGTTGAATACAATATTTAATTTACAATTGACGCGTAACAAAATATTTACAATTACAGATATTTTAAACTCTGTCTTACTCAAGTAATTTTAAAGTTGACAATCTATTGGAGGAAAACGGACTATTGTAGTTTGGTCTACGTTTCAACTTTTTTATTTGAAACGTAAAGTCGATAATTTATTGCAGTGGATTGATGTTTATTATTATATAACCTGCCTATCTATGTGTGTCCGAATATTTAATATATTGCCGAGTTTATTAAAAATACTAAAATTCAGAATTTTTAATATTAAATTATATATATGGTTGAATTATAACTACTTTTACAGCAGTAAGGAATTTTTTGAACGTAATTAATATATAATCTATAACTACGAGTATAAGTAAGTTAAAATAAGTGCATGCTTTATTTATTAAGCAAAACATGATGACCTATTATATTGTAACTACAACATCTTTGTATTCCATGTTTTACGCAAATCTTATCAAGTCTTTATCTTTAAATTTTAAACCATTCGAGTTGATTTTTATAAAATTCAATTTATTTTAGTAACTCTACGTTGCACACAAAAATGTATTTATTATTTATTTCACATCTGGAATTTAAACTGGCGATATGGCTACACCGTGCCACAGATTCTACCAGGAATATTAGAATTATTATAATCTGTGGATTGCGCTATCAGCCGCCTTCCTCGATGACGCATTGATAATACAAATAAATTGGCGACCGAACTTATCGCGCGCCCGCCGTTCTAAAACCTAAACATTATTAATATCGAATGTTTTAACTGTGCAACAATAATAATCAAATATACTATATAACTGTCGCAATCGAATGTGAATTCTGAAGAAGTAATTGCACATGAGACCTAGGATATATCAACAAAATAATACGAAGCCGGCAACTCGTAAGTAGCTCTACAGTTTCTCTTATAAACCAAGCTTTACTTATAAAGCATTGAAAATATGGTCAGTTGCATCATGGTCACAATGGTGTGTTAACACAACTGTACCATGGATATAGGCATGTGATGTATAATGTGTAGCATCCTGTTGTTATACAAAACTCTATAAACACACAACTGTAGAGAGCCCTGAAACGTGCACAAACATGTCTTTGTCGTAACATATTACTTTCATTACAGTTGTTTTGTTAGACATAATAATCTATGTACCTCTATATCGGTTCTAAAAATGATTATCGACCGCTTACAAAAATATCGACTGCACAAGACGTGCTTGTAATGTTTCAGTTACGATTTGCTGCGTGACCTTCAGGCTCATTTAAGGTATATTATTCAGGTATTATTGCACTGCTACACTAATCGCTGGGAGTGCTAAATTGTTCGATATCGATTTTAATTTTTTATTACACATCCTTAGAGTATTTAACCAACTAGAGATGTTACGAGTACTTAATATCTATGTATAAATCTGTATGTGGATACACTAAATAGAAATAAAGAGGATTATCACAATTATGGCTTACTGTTTTTATATTTATAAATAGTTCAAGAGTGAATTCAAAACTTAAACTATAAAGTTACCTTATGTACATACGTTGACCAGGAAAAAATTCCTAATGATATGTCAACGATGCATTTATTCTATATGATTTCATTTACAGAAACATTCCGAATGGATCCAGCAGAAACACTAGTGACAAAACTAAATGAACTGCTAGATGCTGTACAGAAAGGAGAGATAGACGATGTCAAGACCATAGTTGACTGGTTCGAACAAGACGTGGATCGCAACAGAACGCTATTACCTGCCGTGTACGCCGGAGCCAGGCCGTGTCCTACACAGGACGACCTTGTCATTGCCGCGTGTTCCCACAACCAGAAGCGTGTCCTCGACTACTTGCTGAGTGAAACTGATATATTGGAGTATCTCACTGACAGTACACAAGACACCACACAAGTGACTGAGAAGAGAACCGAAGCGGTCAGACATGCGCTGCGGCTGGAAGATTACGAAATGGTTGAGAAATTGTACAGCTACTGGAGCGGCGACTTGTATTGGAAAGGCCACAAAAAGGATAAGTTTGAGAATCTTGGGAAAATACTAAAAGACGCTGAGATCTCAGCCATTATAAGAGACCAACAACTGCTTATTAATTTTAAATCTCTCGTCACACTGAATGACTTTCAACAAGAGCTGTACAACAACCTGCCACAGCCACTGTCACATGACGCTCCCGCAGAAGACACTGCTAGAGTGCTACTGACTGTGTTAAGAACATATGATAAGTATGCAGATATAGATAGGGTAAGAATACCAGATGTTACAGACGCATTCGAACGTCAACTCAAACTCTACTTTGAAGATAAGAGCAGCACATACTTCAGAGCACTTGTGTTTATTAAGTACGAAGCCTATTTTCAAAATTTGTATTTTAACATAGCGATACTTTTGTTGGAAAAGTTGTACATTTTAAGAAATCATTTAAAAACACGTTTCAACAAATCCAACGAATTTATCAATGAAAATAAAAAGTTACACAATCAATACATAACCGCATCGTCGTCGTACAAAGACATAGAATGTGCTATCTACCATCTAATCTACCGGACGAGTGAAGACTGGAGACTGTACCTACCTGCGCATAGACAGTTAACAGTAGAAACTCATCACCTCGGTATCTATAATGGGATAATAGGAAAGCTTAAAACAACATACGATGAACATAAGTTGTATAACGCTCCTGTGCTATACTTTGAGCGAAGGTATTTTAAGACGTCTCTCAATAAACTAAGAAAGATATTAATCAAGCATGTCATCGCAAAGCCCACAATTAAATCAGCAGATAGTAAAGAAGAAAAACACACACACACACACAAAAAAAGAAGGAGACTATAAAAATATTGTTAAATGAGAATTATCTAGAACCAATGATGTACGTGAGTGACCATTACTCATTAAATAAAATTGTTACATACATTGAAGCTCTCGAACAGACTGCTAATGCAGATGTCATAATGATTGAAAGAGTACTTCAGGTTATAGGAGAAATGCTAAAAAACTCTCCCGAGACGTCACATATATCAGACTTTACAAAAGCTCTCTTGCAGACAGCAATATCCACAGACACCATCAAACATCTACAAGACATTAGAGAGTTCTTGTCACATACTGACAAAGAACGACTGAGTATCAGGATTGATATCGAGAACAAACAAGCTGATAAGTTACGAAATGTCCAAAAAGAATTAGTAAAAACCAAAGAACAAATTGTTCCTATTCTTGATTTCTGTAAATCTGTTCTTGATAAATCATTATTACAAAATGGTTTAGATCTACTAGAAAAAAGAATCAAGAAGTTGCCAGACGGTGCTAGACAACGCGTTGATGAAATATGTCGCCTTTATGAAGAACGTGGAAATGACTTAGTTTCGGAGGATGGTGAATATTATACAAAAGAATGGAAACCAGCTGACTTGCCATATCAAATGCTAAAAGAAATTCCACATCTATTACAAAACCGAGATGAAATTTCATCGAAAAAGAAAGGAATAGAAAATGAAATAAATAACAAAATCGCGAAATTATTACCAAAGTATATTCACAATATGATACTAACACTGGAACGTATAAGCGAGAACTATAATCGTATAGATAATTATAACAAGTTACTCGAAACATTCTCCGAGAACCCTAAGAAGAAACGGAAGAAATTAAATCTTACGAAACTCGATCATATTTCGATAAATGCAAATATACTCAAGAGGAGACGGAAGCAATTAGACGGAATAATAAATCAAAATATAGAAAATAATGAAAATAATGAAAATATTGAGAAAATGATTGATTGTATTAAAAATGTAAAAGATTATTCAAAGTCGTGGATGTCAATAAAAACAATGGTAAGCGAATGCATTAAAAGGTTTAGTATTTTTGCTTCATTAAAAAATTCTCCCGATGAATTAAAAATTGAAAACATAAATTCTGTGTTACGGGAAATGAATAAAGTATGTTCAGAGCACAATCAATCAACAAATAATACTACCGAACAAAAGCTATCATTTCAAAAAATAAAAAAATTACATAATACTATCGTCGAACGAACCGAGTCTAGCAGAAATAGTGATGGACGATGGGAATTAATAAAATGTTTAAATAATCGCATTCAAAAGCTAAAGAAAACTCTAGGGTATCCACAACAAATACATTTACGTAAATATGTTCAGCGATACAAGCGGGATCCAGCGTTTCGTTTTGTGTTAGAAATGCTACTGGCTGACATAGAGAACATTATAAATAATAACAAACATAACTCGAGGAAAAGTGGGAAGTTGCTGGAAGGTATTGTCCTGGGTAACGTGCTGGATCACGGCAATCCATTCTTAGAGGTGATCGGGGATATATTTGACTGCCACGAGCTGCCTCGGGAGATCATGTCAACAGCGATAAGTTTTGCTGAGGATGAAGAAGCCGTCAAAGCTCTCGAGAAACTGTTCCTAGCGAATGTACACTTTGATACTATCAACAATGGTACGCTGGCAAATATGAACGATGTACAGAAAGACCTGTACTCAAAACTCATAAAGTCACAGAACTGGAAATCCTACGCGATATTATTGAGAGAGAAGCCGGTTAAAAAATTAACGTAACGAGAAATGAAGTTTTGAATGATCATATGTTTATTAATCAGATGCGGTATTGTTTAATCGTATCTAAGAACTTTGTTTTAGTGAATTCACAAAGGTATACTATTGTACTACTATATACTATGTTATATAAGTGAAATGATATGTGATTTTAACTTAATGTTGGTAAACGATGTAGCTTTTTGTTTTTAAATATTGTTTGTTTAGTTCGTTGGTGTTGATGTTAATGTTTTATGGTTAGTTTATATCTTACTTATACTTATACTTATACTTATACTTATACTTATACTTATACTTATACTTATACTTATACTTATACTTGTACTTGTACTTATACTTATACTTATACTTATATGATGCCCTGTAAAGATAGTTGAAGGGTGTTTTTAAATATAAACTAAAAATAACTTGTTGCACAGAGAACAGTCTCCTACTCAAAATTCAAACAGGCAAAGAATTTGCAGAGTACGAGTATGTTATTGAAACTAATTGAATAAATTATTGCTTTTGTAATGAATTTTCACAATTAAATGAAACCTTTTCTCAAATAGTTTTATTTATTAGTCTTAAAGGAAATTTAACAAAAACTAATAATTATACAATATGGATTTCACTCATATGACTTCAAACGAAACTAAAAGTAGTACTCGTCCACAGAAGCATAATACAACCAATTATTTCAACGAAATCGAAAATCAAAACTTTGAAATTATCGAAAAAAATAAATTTTAGTTTAAAATTCTATGCAAATACCTCCTTGTACATACATTGACCACAGAAGAGCTGTAATATTGTAGGTAGATTGTCTAAAAATGTTACAGACATCCAACGCGGTTGTTACAAGGCCGTATTTTTAAAGGGTGTTCAAATTACCTCAAAGAGAAAAATGTACTTTTCGGAAAAAGTGCATGAACTAATCAGAGTTGTAGCAGACGCAGTTATGCCTCCCAAATATTTGTGCCACCCTGGGACAGAATTTGATGCTTTGGTTCAGTGAATCATGGCTATGATACCATTCAAATAGAAGTAGTCGGAGCCGTGGCGGAGCTGGGTGTATTTTGCTCACTGTCCTTTTAGACGTTCACGGTTGAACAATTTTGTTGCAACTCGTAACAATGGCTATAGAGATCCACTGAAAGCTGAAAGGCTACTGAAAACAATTGAGGTTGTTCATCAGTGTTACATTTTGGTTGACTACATTATCTATATTCATATTATAACAATATTTAGCCGAATTATTTACAGTTCAGTTGGTCATTTCAAATAAATAGTCTTACATAGTAGATGTTATTTGAAAATAAACTGGAATGGGTTTTAGTGATGTAAGAGTCCCCTATCCTAGTGTTTCTCCCCACATAGCAAGAAGCCTTTTGAAATTTTCGTCTCGACATAAAACAGGCAAAAAGTAAGAAAAATACCGGTCAAGTGCCAGCCTCGAATATAGAAGGTTCGGTAACATTTATAAAAATGACTATCAACTTGTTCTCTTGTATAAGAGGCCCCTATTCAGTATTTTGTTTTAAACAGAAATACATTAATATAAACTACTAGCAGCCCGTCCTGGCTTCGCACGGGGTAGACAATAATTTATTTTTGGAAATTTTGATTGTTGTAGTGACATAACTACAATAGTTGGACATATGCTACCGCGGAGATTTTTGTAGACATTATGATGTTCTTCAATATTGTTGTACATTATTTTGTTCTATCGCTAATAGTTTTGGCAGCGCATTCGACGAAAGACATTTTAAGACTCATTTTTCTACACCTTCGGTTATATTGTTCAAATTTTACTAAGGATCCCTATTTTTTTCAAAATGAAATGTAGCCTATGTCAAATTGGAAGAATGTAGCATTCTATTGGTGAAAGAATTTTTTAAATCGGCCCAGTACTTTTTGAGCCTATTCATTACAAACATACAAAAATAGGTACAAATCTTTCCTCTTTATAATATTAGTATAGAT